TCACATCTGAGTCATACTTGGCTAATTTGTAGTCGTAAAATGGTATGAGAGATCACTGTTACATAACAACAGCAGGAACCCCTTTGATTCTGCATTTGCAGACTCCTGAATCACTAAGCCAGGGTTTCTGAACTTAATAAAGAACAAACCAAGAAGACTTGGTCTGTTGAGAGTGTCGGTGGACTGTGTTCCACCGAGCATCCCCTGACGTCCAGGGAAATGGAAGAAGAACGTGTGGGTTGCTTCATTACTGTGTCTTTCTGGCTGAGCCTGGGGTGTTGGGAGCAGGTGGGCTTCTCAACGACTTAGACGTTGCCTGGTGCTTCGTGTGTGGAATGCCACCTGTGCAGTTCTCTTTGAAAGCGATGGGTGCCAGCATCTGTATACATAATTTAAAATAAATTTACATTCCTATTTTGCCTGAGATGATAAATTTGTGTACTGGTGTGATTAAAGAAAAGGGTGAGGATTTGGGGAAGGGTTGAGAGAGGCATTTTATAGCATTTTAAGATTCAAAGTTCTAGTAAGAAGTTGTTTCTGTTAACCAAAGCTAAGTGGATGGACGGTTGGCCGGCTGGCTGGATAGATGGATAGGTAGAGAGGAAGGGAAGAGGGGAGGGACCTTTGGAAAGCTAACAGTTAATATTGGGGTGGTGGGATTATAGATGCTTTCTTTTGGCCACGTTCATCTGTCATTTCTAAATTTTTCTATCACTAATGGAAAGTATGAAGCAGGAAGTGGCCTGAAATGAGCCTAGAGAGGTAGATGGGGCAAAATCATGGACTGAGTGTTAGTCGTTACTGTTATTCATTGCGCATATGTTTGCATTTCTGTTCTCGCTGGGCATATGGAGGGTTGCACCTTTTCGAAGCTAAGCACAGCCACAACACTTACTCTGCCAACAAAACGTGAGCACAAGTGACACGTATCACCACTGGGTGGAAGCCTGTGACATTCCACGTGCACCTTGTCACATTCTCTTCCCCACACTGTAGAGACTGGTGATGTTACAGAGGGTGGAGGCTCCACCTGATGGGGCCCCTGGCCAGTGACAATAAACAGGACCTCACTGACATAAGATGGGCATGAAGCGTGAGCAAGTAATAATCGTCTGTTGTCTTAAGACATTGAGGTTTGGGGGCTGTTCCTTACTGAAGCTCATCCTGATCAATACGGAGGCACTTGTGTGAGCCACACTAAGGAATTAGGAGCGTATCTTGTTGGCCATTCCAAGCTACAAAAACGTTTTAAGCTAGAACTTTGTATATGGGCATCTGTTGCCAATCCAGAGAGCACACTCTGGCCAAACAGGCCTGAACTTTTCACATCCTGAGTGGCATACGCAGATTTAACATCTTAAAAAAAAACTCAACGGTTCTTTAGTGGTGACGGAATAGTTCTGTATCTTGAATCTGTGCACATGATAAAATGTCGTAGAATTATACACACAGTTATTCCAAGTAAAAGGAACTGAGTGCGTCCCAGAACTGGTGAAATCCAAGTAATGTCTGCAGTCTAATAAATTACACTGTGACAGTGTCGATTTTCTAATTTTGATAACTTGCTGTACTTGGATAAGATGCCCCCTTGGGTGGATGCTAGGAGACGGGTACGTGGGCACTCTCACTACTATTTTTGCCACTTGCTGTGAGTCTATAATTCGTTCCAAATTAAAGTTAACGACAACAACAGCAGCAAAAGTGAGTTATACCAGGATAGTGAACTGTGGCCAGTCCCAGGTTCATAGTCAGACTCAGCGGCAAAGCTCACCTTGGCAGATGGGGCCTCTTGCTTTCACCTAGCAATCGTCAGCTTATCCCACAGAAATGCTTTCTGTCTGCAGTCCGTCAGCCCCTGCCTTCTCATTTAGAGCATGTCCCACGATAAACATTTCTATCACGTTAAGTTTGTCTGCCAGTCGGAAGAGCAAACCCCCCAACCCACACACATCAACACATACACACACCTTAATTCTAAAAGCTGTGTTTTTCCTTCACTGGACTTAACTGAATTGCACACACAGTTTCTCTGCATTTCTCAGGGTCAGTAGCAGAAACAGGAAACCTGATACCGAGGGCAGGAGAATTACCTGAGTAATTGCGTGTGGACGTGAATCACTGTCCCCAGGAGCCTAGTAACACACAGGCTGTGGATTAGTCTGTTGAACTACTTGATGGCTTGTGACCCCTTGTTCCCCCTGGATGTGTATGGTCTGATTTTGTTCTTATTGGTAGTGGCAGCCCTGTGCTTTATCTTGAAGTGAAGGGGGGGGGACCAAAAGACAGTTTACCACGTGTAAGTTGCACATTTAGAAGAATGTACTGGCCCATTTGGCTGCACCATCATTTTCATTGGAAATATTGCTTTGGGGTCACCATCTGGGAATGTTCTCCCTGTTTTATGGGGGAAGAATGAACATCCATTTTTCTAATATGTAGCCAGCGTATCCCTTGGGGTTTCCATCGGGGGCTCGGCTGACAGGAGCAATGTCTTGACCACCCCTTCCTTAATAGATTAAATAGTTGACTTTCCTCTTGTGATCCATTCAAAGTTCTGTAAGATTCTGTGTTGGCGGTGCGTGCCGTGCTCTGTGCCGGGAGAGGCTGGGGCCGGAGCGGGCAGGATGAGGGTGAAAGGCCACTTTACTCGCTCACTCGGAACATCAGATTGGGTAGTTGAGCATTTAGGAGGCATAAGAATCTATGGGGAAGACAAGTTAGCCATTAGCAGACTTCCCACTCAGAAGAGGTTTTAGCCACAGATAAATATCCGTCATGCAGACAGAAAGCGGGGGGGGGGGTTTGCTCCCCATCTGGAGACCCAAGCGCTCTGCATGGGGTACAGTATCACTCAAGTGCATCCTCTTCTCCTGGGGGCAGTTTCCCTCCCTGTAGGATGAGGGGCGTGGCCTTGCCTTACCTGGACCCTCCAGGTGCAATACTTCCCTAACAAAACCCATGTGTTGGGGCTTCCCTGGTGGCGCAGTGGTTGAGAGTCCGCCTGCCGATGCAGGGGACACGGGTTCGTGCCCCGGTCCTGGAGGATCCCACATGCCGCGGAGCGGCTAGGCCCGTGAGCCATGGCCGCTGGGCCTGCGCGTCCGGAGCCTGTGCTCCGCAACGGGAGAGGCCATGGCAGTGGGAGGCCCGCGTACCGCAAAAAAAAAACAGAAAACAAAAAAACCCATGTGTTGGCACTTCACCTTTTCCTGCATCAGGTTAAACACTTCTCCTTCTTCCAAAATCTGCAGGTTTGAGCATCTGCTGCTGTTACCTGAGGAATTTAAATCTTCTTTGGCCAACTTGCCTTTGCCACTGATAAGCTCTTGGGGTTTGGGGAGGTCATTGAATCCCTCCCTACGCCCTTTCCCTAAAACTGGGCTCTGTTAGTGGGCAGGACCTGGATCCTCTAGAAGCCAACAGTGATCTGGTCCGATGTGGTCTTCGGGGGGCACCGGTGCTTGTCATCAACATCGTTTCATCCACCTTGCTGCACTGTTGCCCACCCAAACCACGGTTTACTACACAGTGGCCTCAGGGGAAGAATTTGTCACCATGGGCATCTTATCTCCTCCTGGTTAAACTGATGAAATGCTTTGTCTCTTCAAGGCAGGATGTTAGATGCTTTATACTTAATCTCACAACGCTGAGAGTAGATAATATTCACATTTACAGATGAGGGAACTGAGGCTCAGAAAGGTTACAGGCCCCAAAGTCAGTGTGCTTTCCTGCTGCCTCGGCCTGATATGTATTGTTCAAGGCCCGGGACTTGGGTCGGAGCCCAGGACCTAGGCGGCAGAGGTGAACTGCCGTAGACACATGAAGCTTCTCAGCACAGTTTGCATCCATTCGGGTGGAGGATGTCCCCAGCAGTGCCGTTTGCATCCCCCTTCATAATATTCTAGTATTGTGTTGGTCTCCATAGTCTTACTTTAACCTCGCAGTCTAGACAAGAATTCCCAAGCTCAGCGTTCGTTTTATGGGGATCTGCTTACCTGAACAGGCAGGTGGCCTGGCAGTCTGTCCTTCAGCGGAGGGACGTCTAAGAAGTGATAGCATTTCAGCTCACACTCCAAAGTCCAGCGAGACTCAAAAATTGGGAGGGCTCTGTAAATACAAGGCAACTCTGATCTTTCCAGAAGTGTGCTAGGAGGCCCTGCAGTGGAACAGGGTGGCTTCAAATCCTGACCACTGCAGTCCTTTTGGTGTCTCTCCAGGAGGGAACTTGGGCTCCAGCCAGTGTCAGACTGACTTGAAGTCCTGCCGTCCACGCTTCTTAGCTCTGCAATCTCTTATAAGATGCCACACTGTAAAACAGGCAAACTACAAACGTATCCTTCAGTTGTCCTGAGGATGAAATGAGATGATGCCTGTAAATGCCCACCCACCATCGGCTCAGCGTAGACATTAATGGCCTCATTAATAGCATCATTATTACCATCCATATGTGCCCTGCCCATCTATAGGGTTCACAGGGTTACTAAACCAGGGAGGTGTTGAGCAGTCAGGCTCCGTTGATATAAACGAGTTTTGCCTGCGTTTGTACTTTCTGTACATGAATTGTCTCTCATTTTTCATGCAGGCTTGGTGGAATCATTTCAGAACCGGAGGGCAGCTTTTGAGATTAACACGTGGTCTCCGGAGTTCTTGCAGGAGCCAGGCTTTGTCCTGGTGTTGCCCTATCATTACAGTTTTTTTAGGAGGCAGATGGAGAGGAGCTGTGTGAGCCCGAGGACCCTTAGGACCCTGTTTCGTGCGCTGAGTCAAACAGCACAACCCCCCAGCATGGAGTTTCAGCAGAGTCCCAGCCTCCCATCCTCCCTCAACTTGGCAGTAAAACGCCCTGTTCTTCCACTCATTCCGATGATTTATATTCTCTCTGGGCGTCTAATATTAAACAGGGGAATTCCGACATGTTCCATAACACATTTACTGTAACTTGATACCATGAACTAAACTTGCTGTTATTTATCATTTCTTTTTATTTTCTCTCATTCCAGCATAAAGCCAAGGTAGAAGCAATGACCCTGGACCTCGCTCTGCTCCATAGCGTGCAGCATTTTGCTCAAGCGTTCAAGGCCAAGAATGTGTGAGTGTTCCAGTGGAGGGTTATAGATCATAATAGCTTGTATTATAATGTCTTTATCAGATGAACACAATGGGGAGGCCGGAAGGCTATTGTGTTGTCTTGGCGTCCAGACGGGAGGCTCATTTATATTGGCCCAGTGAAGGTGTACCGTATTTTCTTGACTCTGAGTCACCCTCATTTTGAGATGCGTCATCAATCTCATAACAGCCTCCCAGATAAAAAGGGAAAGACGGTACGAAGCAGCAGTAAAAGCGGCTCCTAAAAGCCACCCGATTGTAAGCTGCATCCTGATTACAGATATTTTTGCAGTGCCTCCCAGAATCGAGGAAAAGTGTATTTTAATTGCACTCGGAAACAAGTAAGGTCAGCTCTCCAGTCCTGCAAGGGGACTGAACGTCAGAGCACGAGAAGAAGGTTCTGCTGTTTCACAAACCTGCGGTGATTTTACGTGGTGCGTGAATGTGGTTCCAAAAGCATGGACTCACATCATGAGAAACTTCCTCCTTTTTATTCCCTCATCTTTCTCAGACTTTCAAAATGCCTGAAGGAGTAAGCCTTCGCTAGGGACCGGCAGATTTTTTTGCCATCACTGCCAACATCTTTCTAACGGAGCAGCCCTCAGAGCCAGAGCTGAGGAAAGCAGTGGTGGTTAGCTTCATTTTCATTACGATATTTTGTTTCCAAGTGTTTATTTTTACAGTTCCCTCATATTATTTAGGGCAGGCAATACTGGTTTCTCATTTAACACAGTGGTTTAAATTTCTTTAACAAATAACTTCATTTAATTTTTCTTTTTCAGTGAGTTGATTTAAACACAGGGATTAAGTTAATAATGGTACAGGAGGTGCCAAGGATAAAACAGTTCCAAAAGGGGCACCGAGTGGCTGAATTCGGAGAACACTGATAAAATGACAAACTGTCTGGGGGTTCGCCTCTGTCGGGGTCGTTGGTTTTACAGTTCTCCACGCAGACGATGGATGTAAGGGGAGGTATCTTAAACCAGATATTCAGATCTGACCCCTCAGTGCTGTCCAGTAGCCAGTTCTTCTTATTTCTCCCTTAGTCTTTCACTCTGTTGTTTTAGACTGTTGAGAAGTCTGTTCTCTAAAGCCCTTTCTGGAGCAATCCTGTAGCCTGAGTACTTGAGGTTGAAATGTGAACTCAGAGTCTGTAGTGGGAGCTGCACCATCCCCGTAGATGCCGGCCCTGCGCTCCTATGAACAGTTGGGTACCGTCCTCATGCAGCCCGCAGACCTAGGCGAGCCCTACTGCGTGCGCTCTTGGCAGTGTTTGGTAGCTGCGAGCCCGTGCCAGTGGTCTCGGAGATCCTCTCTTCAGGATAGAGCAGTAGCTCTTAAGACAGTTGCTTTTTTATCCCTTCCTGATTCATTTATCCGCTTGTTCATTCACTTAACACGCATTTAACGCGTGCCTCCAAAGCCCCAGGCTCTCTTCTCGGCTCTGGGAAGAGAGTGGTGGCCGGCAGAAGCCCACTTTACCTCACGCGAACCATTGTCTCAGTGGCCAGCAAGCAGGCAGTGTTTTCCTGCTAGTGACTGACTCTCCTCAACCTTGTATTTCTGTGGTTGTTTGGGAGTGAATAATAATAACCACCACCGTAGCAGCAGTAACAGCTCATTTATTGAGTGCCTATTATGAGCCCCATACCCAGAACCCTTTGCGTGCTTTTTCTGATTTAATTCTCAAAGCAACCCTCGGGGTGGGTGCTGTCATTATGTCTATTACACAGATGAGGAAAATGAGACCGGGGTGGGGGTGAGTTATCTGAAGGCACGTGGCCAGGAAGCAGAGGGGCTGAGATCCCGTGCAGTCGGGCATTCCTGGGCCCCCCTCCTCAGCCACCACGCTGCACTGTCTGTCGTTCTTAATGTGCCAGAAACCGAGATCAGAGAAACTGAGTGACTTTCACAGGGTCACTTGGCAGGTTGGTGGCAGATGTAGGATTTTCCTCCGTTGTGACTCTCCGCTTTCTCCTTGACACCGTGCTGCTCTAGTGGGAGCTGAGCTGCACTGCCTCTTCATGCTTCCTCCAGTCCTGGTTTCAGACCACGTTGGACGGGAACCATTTAGCCGAGGAGAGCCAACTGTTACATAATAGGACTATCTTCCAAGTCAGTCTTAACGGGACCATTAGTTTTTAACCGTTAAGTAATTCAGAAATCATCAAATCCAACTGCCTTCTGTAATCAACAAGCCCAAACTCTGGGAGGAATGCTAGCAGCCATTTTGCCCTAATTCTAGATTTTAGCAAACGACCCTGAAGTTTTGTACTCCTAGGTTCAGAAACAAAGGCGATTTTCCTCTTAGCCAACCCTGTACCACAAACCTCTTTTTATCCGTCTCTCGAGAGTCCAGCATTTTTCATGGGCTTAGAGAAATAGCGTGGTAGTGAAAATACGCATAAAAGACGCGAGCGACTTTCCTTTTGAAACACTGCCAAAGTGAAATCTCTCCTGGATAGGCAGATGACAGTTCAGTCCTTACAGGTCTGTAGATCCTGAGAAGTGTCAGAAGTGAGTTTAAGTGCTGCTGACTGAGCTGCCGTAAAAACACGTGTCACTCTCTGTCATCATCCCCTCCCGTCTTTGGGCATCAAAATTTCCTTGTGTGTAAAGCATAATGACGAATGAAAGAAAGGCTGCCAGTTCCGAACCCATCCCTTTAGATGCCGTTGGACTGAGGTGAGGAAAAACTCTTACACTGAAATTCCATGTGGATGCTACCACATGGAATTCTGTTCTGAAGCCTGCCTGCGAGCACACCAGAAGTATGATCAGGCTCTTTTTACCTTGTGTATCCCCTTGGTTCATGCCCCAGCCCAGGTGTGTCTCCCCGTACCTGGATGGGCAGCAGCGTGTACAGCCTGAGACCTAAAGAGGTAGAAACAGATGTAAATGCAAACCTTGTTGGAAGATCTAGCTCACTGAAGGGCCGGGCCGCCCTCTATCCGCCTTCTACCGGAGGGGATGTAGATTCAGCCTCTTCTGGGATCTCTTCTTCCTCCTTTACTTTGGAGGGGCCGGGGTGGCTGGTGTGGCATGGGGTGGGGACTGAGTCGTTTCCGAATGAGCACTGCTAACAGCGATTATACAGATCATAGCTCCTTTTCGACTTTTTGTGTATTCCGTGCAAGGCGACGTGCTGAGCACCTATTCACGTGTTCTCTCTGTAACTCCTTACAATAACCCCAGGCATTTTTAGTCATTTTTATCTCTGTTTCACATGGAAAGGCTCCAGCTTTTCACAGAGAGGCCAACTCACAGTCCCAACTTTAGCAAGTGGTGGATCCCAAATTTGAGCCCAAGTCTGTCTGAATCCACAACGACCCCTCTTTTCGTTACACCTCACCCTTCAGGCATTTTCTTCAGTGTGGATTTCTGGATTGGTATGAATTGCTGAGAACCAAGTTACTCAAAGTTAGTGGCTTAACACCATTTAAGACAATAAGTATTTCTCTTCTCTCTCTCTCTCTTTCACTTTGTTTAAATCCGGAATCACATAAGATCAATGCATTTTAACCTATAGGTTTTCCCTCCCTTTCTAAATTTCTTACAAAAAAATTTTAATGCAACATATTTGTTTCAAGGACCACTGTGTCCTCTAGAGTTTTCTGTGGTCTGTACTTCAGTGACTGCATCCCTGTGGTGTCCTTTAACTTGTTCTTTTGTCTTCCACGTTTCCCGTGAAAAGGTAGCTAACTCTAGAGGCTTGGTCAAATTCCTGTTTAATTTTTTGGCAAGAATACTTGGTTGGTGGTCGTGTAGTCTTCCATCAGGAGGATGTGCGTGCCTGCTTGCTAAAGCGTTTTCCTTAAGGCTCTGCCCGCCCTGACCAACCCATTCCTGTGCCTGCTCTCTCTTTGCCCACCCCCTCTTTCATCCATTTCTCCTGTTCTGCTCCACTCACTCTTCTGGGTGGTCAGCCCAGAAAGCCCCAGTCTGCTTTCAGACAGTCCTCCCCAGCATCAGTGGTGGTGGTCGGCCAGTGTGTCTCAGGTCGAATTATTTTGGGTATTACTGGAAAGTTCCAAACCAAAGCCTGTGGTAAGTCCCAACCAAACTGAGTTTTGAAGGGCATTTTTGCTGAAACTGCAGTCCTGGAGAGCAGCCAGACTGCACGCTGCCTCGCAGGCTGAGGTATCCATCAGAGTATGAAGAGCTGGGACCCTCACTAATCATGCAGACCAAGTACTGGGATTTTCTGTAATGGGCTCTGAAGCAGCAGTATGTTGTCTGTGATACTTTTGCACAGTTTTATCCCTAGTTCTAACTGCTTAGTTTACCGAAAAGCACTCATTTTGAACAGGGCCTGGAACAGCAGTTCAGGAGCTTCTGGAGCTCTGTAAATATGTTTTCCTTTATCAGATACTGTTTGATAGTTTGCGTCCTATGTATTCCTGAAATAATGGGCATCTGGATTCCAATCCTGGAAGTTGAAAAGTTGGTGATGGCACATAACATAGAAAATGTATTGCTTGGATCTCGGTTACCAATCAGCTCTTATAATATTGACCAAGGGCTTTGAGTCATCATGGAAATTAATTGAAATTGATAGTACGATCATATTAAAATAACATGGAGTTCTAAAGATTTCTAGAACTTCATTTTTGGTCGTGGATTTCTGCTTTCTCCTTCCAACTTTCTGTCTCCAGCATAATTTAAAGAAATTAGGCTTTCTTTCACTTAAAAATACTATAGGATAGTGATGTTTAAAAAAAAAAAATGAAAGAATACTTTTTCTATTCCCTCTTTACTGTTTACACATTTGAGGGGAAAATCTTTAACAAAACTATTCATTTTCACTTTTTACTAAATTACTTTCAGAACTTGAAAGTTCAGGACTTTGAGAATCTACTAATCCCAGATTTAATGTTCTTGGATTCTTATTCCAAATTTTGCTGTCTCAAATCCTTCTTTGGAAGTGGGTGGGCTATAAATTATAAATAAATTCTAAATTTTGAGGGATAAATTACCCTGAAG